CATTAAATTAACTGTGGCAGCGCATGGCAAAGCTTTGTGACTCATTGCCATGCGTTGTGATACCTTGTGTTGCAATTAAATATACACCTGTATCATTTTATCACAACACAAACACCAAAACAATTTTTTACATAAGTCGATTATTTACAGTTTTGCATACCTTCATTTTTTTACCTTTTCGCAAAAAGGCGCAATTACAAATTTGCTAATATTTGTTATTTATTAACTCAATACAGTTTTATCTTTTAGATTTAGTCAGAAAATAATTTTTTTTGTGCACGGATACTGATTTTGGTGTGTTTTAACAATTGAATTGTGTATTTTTATCGGTTTAATATTAATTTGAGAAACATTTGCGCAATTATCGCAGGGCCTACAAATTTAGTATCACCATCTTTTTATTCTACCGGGCCTGCGCTTTCAGAAAATATATGGTTTGGGGGGTCTTTTACAAACGCTAGCAACGCAGCAGTTGAAAATCAAACCAACAGGAAAAAATTGCAGAAAATTCGAAAATGGCTTGGCCAGCTGATTTGAAAAATGTTCCGGAGGGCTTGGCAGCGAAAGGGTTAATAAAAGCAAAAAAAGTGCCTTTATTAATATTTTGCATTTCAGCCTGCAAAGCATTTCAACCGGGATCAGTGGATGGTGGGTACAATGCTCAGGCCCCTGCAGACTATTCCTCCCCTCCCTGTCCGTTCCAGACTTAAAGTTAAAGCACAGGAGGTAGTATCAATGGACAACACGTTAGGTGACGTCACTGCACTTTTATTCCATTAAAAGGAGAACTATGGGGTTAGGGCTTTTCCCCATAGTTCTCCTAAGGGTAACGGGAGGACACAAACTAGCATCCTCCCGTCACCCTAAGCTCAGTATACCGCGAGCTACAACACGCGGTATACTGAGACGCCCAGCTGCGTGAGTGACAGCTGGCTCTGCCTATCTAGAGGCAGAGCCAGCTGTACCCGCCCCGTCCCCCGTCCGTTCCGCTAGTCAATGCTGGAGGATCGGGGAGGGGGATCCAGTCGCTCTCCTGTCACGGCTCTCTGCCGTGACAGGATCGAGAAGTGAGCGAACGCCGGTATGTGTTCGCTCACTTCCCGATCTACTGAGCCGACCTGTGACAGTTTCATTGTCACAGGTCGGCTAGAACTATGAGGTGAGTGAAAATCACTCACCTCATAGTTCTCCTTTAAGATCTACAAGTCCCTCTACCGCATGGAAGATGAGACTTGTAGTCTCTCCATTCAAAGTTCCTGTGAATAGGTCTGTGAATGGATGACGTGGCTGTGTGGGCAGAGCCATGCACAGCCATGTCAAATTAAAAAAAAATGACAGGAGACAGCTCCATTGACAACAGCTAGACAAAACTTCAAAAGTTTGGCTCCGGCTGTCATTGTTAAGGAGCATTGGCGACCTGGCGCCTGGTATTTATCCAGCCCTGTATATATAAACATGCTGTACATCTACTGCATGCAGCTATGCAAAGGCTGAATTTGTGATTCAACCACTTGGAGGAAACTCACCATGGTCTGAGTGGTAGACGGCCACCGACCTGAGGAAGGGGGAATTGTTGACCATCCCGTAGATATAAGACTCAACCTGCAGCCGAGATAACACTGACGTATAAGAGTGCAGGGCGAACGTCTGACATAAGTGATCCGACTTCAGCTCAAACAGCCGTTTCAGGTCCACCAGTGCTGATGTATTGACCTCAGCCCTCTGGTAGTGGTGATACCCGACCACCTTGGCTTGATCTTCACAGAGACCCTGCGGAGGAGAACATGCACCAGTCATCATTGACGTAATCCTCTGATGAACGTTCACGTTCCCAATACATACAACTTTTACACTGGAATATCTTCCTTATGTCCTTCCTCCTCCCTCCCCTTACAAAATCACTAAATATGTTACATTTTTTCTAACTTTTTTGTCCTATATTTACTGTAGATCTCTGGCTGCCTACTTCCTAGGTGAGGGTGATGTATGTATAGTAGGGATGAACCTATATCGGTTTTTCCGTGTCGAGTACCGAGTGACAAGGAAGCATGGCACCTTTTTTTTGCCAATCAGGAATAAGCCGGGAGACGAGTAATGACTCGCCGCCTGGCTTCCTGTTTGGCCAGCTTCCCGATCAATCAGGAATCCGGGGGCGAGTCATTACACGGTGCACGGCTTCCTGATTGGCCGAAAAGCCGGCTCCATGCTCCCTCGTCACAAAATGATGAGGGAGCATGGAGCTGGCTTCTCGGCTAATCAGGAAGCAAGTCATTACCCGCCCCCTGGCTTCCTGATTGGCCGGGAAGCCTCCTCCATACTCCCTGGTGAAGAGGGAGCATGGAGCCGGCTTCCCAGCCAATCAGGAAGCCGGGCAGCTTGTAATGACTCGCCGCCCAGCTTCCTGATACCGGAAGTTCCAGTATCGGGCTAGGCATCAAGAGCATTTGGCCAAGTATGATTACTCGCCCAAATACTCAGTAAATCTGCACCGATACCGATACTAGTGTCTGTATTGGTGCATCCCTAATGTATAAGCCGCCCACATGCCCTCCTGAGATGTCCATGTCATACATCCCAGGAGGCTGTGTCTAGCTAAGAGCCATACATTGAGATATCTCACTCTGCAACCTGCGCATCTACGAGTCCTGGCGTGGCGTCATCACAGGCTTGATGGTGGAGTGGAAAGAGAGAGACATCAAGAGAACTTCTGCAGCAAAGAGGACAATGCTGGATTCCTTGTATGTATGTTTTTATTAATTATATAAAGCAAAGGGTATATACCCCACCAGGTTTAATTGTGAGTGCAAAACATTGCTTCTTTCAAGATTAAAGCCCAACTCCATGCAAAACAGGCTTACCAGGGATAAATTAGTTGAACAGCCCCCACTGTACTTCCTGGCCACTCCAACTGTAAGTGCCAGACCCCAGCACTACAATCTCCACCTCCCTCTCCTGCTTACCATTCACAAAACATGTATCCCCGGCTGAGTTCTGTGACGGGCCAGGAGGAGAGGGAGGCAGAGATGTGACCATAGCTCTGGGGTCTATGGGACCTGCATTGGTTACATCCGAGTGGGCTGGAAGTAGAGAGGGAGCTGGACTTCTACTAACGTGTAAACAAGAAAAGTTGCTGGGTGAAGAAGGAAGTACACAGTGAATATCACTGAAATGGAGGGAGTAGGTCAGACACTGGGTCAGATAGTACAATACTATCACAACTAGGGATGCACCAATACCGATACTAGTATCGATACCAATACAGAGTATTAGGCAAGTGCTCCGATACCTTCTCTTGATACCCGAACTTCCGGTCACAGGAAGATTTCCTCTAATCAGGAGTGCTGTAGCAAATCATGAAGCCGGGCAGAGAGTAATGACCCGCCTCCCGGCTTCCTGATTGGCTGGGAAGCCAATCAGGAAGTCGGGTCATTATTCACCGCCTGGCTTCCTGATTGCCCGGGAAGCCGCCTCCATGCTGACTGGCTGGGAAGCTGGCTTCCCGGCCAATAAGCATCGAGCCGGCCAAACATGGAGCCGACTTCTCAGGAAATCAGGAAGCTGGGCGGTGTGTCATTACCCGCTGCCTGGCTTCCTAAATTGCCCAGGAAGCTGGCTCGATGCCAGCGGAAGCATCGGTACCCGGGAAGCAAAAATTTTGGTACCGAAAAACCGGTATCAGTGCATCCCTCATCACAACTATTCCTGGTGAATAAACAATGAGAGATGTGTATAATGCCCAGCTTAGAGGTGACATTATCCGTACAGTGCCATGAACAGCAATACAAATTTAGTATTTGAGATCAGCCCAATTCCTCCAATACCTCCCAGGAAATTACCTGTACAGTCATGTGCTCTTCCTTAAAATCCCACACTTTACTTTTGATGTTCTTCCAGTCGGAGATCATCATATGAAGCTTGGAATCGGCCAGCAGAAGCTGCTTCCTGCATCGGCCATAGTTCATCAGCAGCTCGTGGAACTCGTGGCGGTCCTGATGGGCAACCCTCTCAAACTCCTCGGTGAAGGAGTCCACGTTCTCCAGCCAAGAACACGGCTCGAATATCTTCAGCTGCTCCCTAGTGAACGGGACAGACCTGGGCTGCAGCGGGAGCTCCGGATAGAGCCTCTCGTTGGGGACAAGAGGCTTAATGGTGGCCACAGCACTGGTGTGGTCAAAGATCGGCTCGGGCAGCTCTGGGTACAAAGACTTAACCTTGGACAAATGCAGAATCTCTTTGGCTTCCACGAAATGCTGAGTGTTGAGGCCATCCAGGTCTCTAATAGACAGCACTGCAGGTCTGATGTTAGGGACCTCTACGGTCTCCTTCTCCAAGGAGGAGCTTGTCCTTTCCATGCCTGGAGCCACGCCGGGGGACAATTCAAGGTTCTGTGCAGCATAACTAATACTGGAATCTGTGTTCTCTCTTGCAGAGGCGGGCCCCTGACTCTCTGGAACATCCGGATCCGTTGACTCATCTTTGTTCTTTACCGTGGATGATTTCGAGGCATCTTCAACACCAGAAGAGTCTGCCAAGGACAACTCGCTTATCCGATTTATCTCAGAGGTCCCCGTGTCGTCATTGAGCTGAATTTCTATAAAGTTGTCAGGGGGCACGCAGTCTGTTTGTAGTTTTTGGGAAGAGGAAACGGGGGTGGATACCGTAACAAAGGCATCATTCTCTTCCTCCAATACCGGGGTCTTTTCTGGTTTCAAGTCTGAAATGGCCTGTTTTTTCTTTGCCTACAGAGATAAGAAACAAACGGTCAATGGACGGTCTTATGATGGTTATAGGAAGTACTGAAAGCCACCAATTTATAGCAGAACTGTAGCCAAAAATAACACGATAAAAATAAATAGCCCTTTCAAAGCTATAATAACAAAACCAGCTTTTGCTGCAACATTCCCCTTCAATGCCGAGATTTCCCCCGCAGTACTTTTTTCTGCCAGTAGATGGCCTCAATCTGATGGTCAGCATAATTCAACCCACTTCCTTTAAGCCCAGGTTATCCTGGACCCTGGACCCACCAGCTTGTGACTGGACAGTGAACGAAGAAGCAGCACAGTAATGAGCTCATCTCTCTGTCATTCTAGTCTCTTCTCCTATCAGAACGATTTTTGTCAGCACAAAACTGATGGTTCGTTGTGCCAAAAAACTCCTAATATCCTGCATAGCTCTGCAGGACAGTGCTCTCTGGGGGCGAGTGTCCCAACAGCTGGACCTCGTCCCCATTCAGAGTCCTGAGCATGCACAATGTGCTCCCTCTCATGTTGTTATGGCTGAGACAGGGGAGAGAGCCCACTGCACATGCACAGAGCACTGAACAAGGACAACCCAGCCGGTGGATGCTCGCCTCCAGCATCACAGAGGTGAGCCCCGTCCTGCGGAGTCATATAGGATATTGGGAGTTTTACAGGCAGGCTTCAGTGTGGGTGCAAAAGGCCAACTGGTACCACTACATGTCACTAACATTTTGTTAGTTTGGGGTAGGGATGTGGTTACATCTTGCAGTGTTCCAGCTTTCTCTGTGAAGTAATGCATGTGCCCGGCCATTGAGAATAAAGGTTTGGTCTGACACCATGCACCCAGAATGACACCATTATTATCACCCACGGCCAGGAGGACACCATTATTATCACCCACGGCCAGGAGGACACCATTATTATCACCCACGGCCAGGACGGCGCCATTATTATCCACGGCCAGGACGGCGCCATTATTATCCACGGCCAGGACGGCGCCATTATTATCCACGGCCAGGACGGCACCATTATTATCCACGGCCAGGACGTCACCATTATTATCCACGGCCAGGACGATACTATTACTATCCATTGCCAGGAGGACACCATTATTCTCTACGGCCAGGACTACACCATTACTATCAATGGCAAGAACAACACCATTATTATTCATGGCAAAGACCACACCATTATTCTCTACGGCTAGAATGACACAATTACTATCCTTGGCAAGAACAACCCTAGGGCTGCAGCTAACGGTTATTTGACATCCCTGACATACAGTATATCCCAGGAGTCTGCAGGAGTAGGGAGACATTGTGGCCCATGGCCAGAGCTGTGTGTGTCATTAGCTCTTGAACTAGGCAGCTAGCCCATGACAACCAAGGAGTACCAAGATGGTGGTGCTGGACCAGGCCTGTGCTACCTGAAAGGTGGATCACAGTGGGGCAATGCTGGGTTCGCTGGGCAGGTTAAAGTGTAAATTAAAGACAATGATGCATAGAGGGGCAAAAAAGACCAGAGGGCTGAGCAGAGACTGCAATTCCTCTCCGTCATTCCACAGATAGTTTATCGGGCCCGCTGACAAGATGAAGAGGGGGAAAGGCACAGTGGGCTTGCCTAAAAACTACATGGACCTTCTAAAGCAGGGGTAGGCAAACTGCCGCCCTGTGGAACTGGACATGATGGGATTTGCAGTTTCACAACAGTAGGGGGGCCAAGGCTCCCTACCCCTGCTTTAAACTGTTAAATTACAATTAAAAAAATACAATAAAATACATACAGGCTCTGCCGCTGTTTGAGGAGCAGAGCATCATGGGAGTAAAACTTTGTTCTTTAAGACGTTCCCATGGTGACCATGCAAGTGCCATAATTACAGTCCGCATTCTTCTAACAAATGGATCTGCGATTCTATAAAGACAACAAATTTATATCTCTGTGAAGACTATTTTTTTTATTCTTTTTAACAACTGAGCAGAAGACGAAGATGTTTCGGCATGTAGCACAATCTCAGCTTCTCAGAAGGCCTCTTCTCCTCCCTGGGGGCCTGGTTACTGAGCAACTACAACTCCAAGCATGGTCCATGAGTAGGGTGGTCACCTGTGAAACAAAATTACATACAGGGCTGGATAGGCTGGAGCCAGGCCACCAATGCTCCTTAACCACTTGCTGACCGGGGTGTTAAACCCCCCTTCCTGTCCCGGCCATTTTTCAGTATTCAGCGCTGCAGTACTTTGACTGACATTTATTCCGGTACTGTTTCTGTACTGAAATTAATTTTATATCATTTTACTATAGAACAAAAAAAAAAAAAATCACAAATGTATTCCCCTTTATTATTTTGAGAAACATATAGTACCCACTTTTTCTGTAAAATATAAAAGACGGGGTCACATCGGGTAAATAGACACCAAACATGTCAAGCCTTAAAATAGCGCACGCCCACAAAAATCGCAAAAAACTACCACACCCAAAATTGGCCATAGGCAACGCTTTAAAGGCTTTTACCGCTCATCAGTTTAGTGTTATCAGCGACTGATGGCCCTAGAATTATTGCTCACGCTCTGACGTTCATGGTGATATGTAACATATGTGGTGCAATGGGCGCAATTGTCGTTTTCACACGTAGGCACATCCGACGTATGTTTGCATGTGTATGTGGGGGCGGGAGACTTTAACTTTTTTTTTAATGCGTCTAATTCTTTTTTACTTTTTTTTTTACATTTAACTTTATTGCTATCACATAGGGAGCTAAGAAGCCTCCTATGTGATAGCCAATTTACGTGACAGGTCCTCTTTATGGAGATATCAGGGGTCTCCAAGAACCCTAATGTCACCTAGGGACACCCAGAGAAGCTGATGAAGCAGAGATCTGCTTCACCAGCTTCTCCCCGGCTTCTGTAGCCGGGAATGACAGGGGAATACAGAAGTGATGCGATATACATCACTTCCTGCATTCTGACACCGGAGATGAGATCAGAGGGAGATCGTGCACCAATCTCCCTGCACAGAGCCGCCGGGCCGGGACCTGCGGTAGGGGGGCGCACACCCACACAAATTACAAGCGATCCAGCGGCTCTACGACAGCGGGAACGCTTGTTTAAACAGCCCCAATGCTGGCGACGTACACTGTACGTCGTCAGTCACGAAGGGGTTAAACAGCCATCGCTGGCTGTTTACATTTTAGGTAGATTTCCCACTCGTGCACATGCTGGGCGCCGCGCACAAGTGAGGGGTGGGGGAGTGGAGAAGGATGATTTAAAACACCCACCCACATCTACAAGGCTCCTGTCCGGCCGTTTCTGTACAGCCGCTGGACGAGAGGTGGTTTACAGCATTTACAGCTGGCGCCCAACATTTGAAGTCTTCTCTAGTTGTTGTCAATGAGTCTGGCTCCTAAAAAAAAGTCCTACTGGCTCCTGAATTCTAAATTTGTGCACCCCTGCTTTAAGTTATATTGAGGTTTCATAGTTGCTGGTTTTCTTTCTCGTCTGAGTCATCATAAAAGGTTGCACAACTGCTGGGAAGAGATAGAAGAACTTTGCTTCATCCATAAACATCATGTGACCCGAAGCCAGTTTTATTTTCACATGCTGCTAATCAGCTGTGTACAAGTGCTGACTGCCACCAGACCGAAATGAGCCAAAACCTCCCGGCAATCACAGCTCACTGCACTCCCTTCAGAGCAAAGGAACCATTTCACATGGAGGGTATCCATTCATAACGTTCATGTGCTCCCGGCTGCTCAGTGAACCCACTAGAGAAGCCTTACTCAACCAGGGTACCGTGGCACACTGCTGTGCCTCCTGGCCTCCCCAGGGATGCCTCAAACTTTTAGGGTAGTGGGACTGTGATGTGAAGGGGCAATGAAGACTGAAGTGAAAGGGGCTCCTGATGTGATGGGAAACTCTGACATGAAAGAGGGGCTTCTAATGTGAAGGGGTTGCTACTGACGCAAAGGGTGACTCTGATGTGAAGGGGGGGAATCTTTTTTTTTTTAAGGGGTGTGACATAAGGAGAGGAGACATCATTGAGGGGCGGTATGTTTCCCCTCGCTTTCTATCCTATGTGCAGGAATAGCGGAACCCTGACCAGGGTTTCGCTTTGACTTTGGGTCTGGATAGTCCAGCTCGGGCTTTGTGTCTCACCTGGATAGTTGATTGCTTGATGAGTGCTTGTCCAGATGAAATAAAAGGGGAAGGCTGAGACATGGTTTTGCTCTGGCCTGGGACTCAGACAGCCTTCTGAGAGAGCTACACGTTGGATGTGTTCAGAAAGAAAAAGAACTTTGCTGCCTGGACTGCTTTTTTCCCAGGGAAGGTGATCCCCCATTCGAGCTATACCCCCACAGGGGGCACGTTGATGTGAAGGGGAAACCCGCTTTTTTGTGTGTTTTTTTGTGGGGTCCCCTTTAAAATCTAAGACATTTTAGCCTGGATTGCCTCAAGATTTTGCATACTGTTAAAGCTTGCCGTGACTAAAAAAAAAAAAAAAAAAGTTGAAGAACAATGTACTAGACCACCACAGAAAATTGCCATATACTGTAAGTTCTGACCAAGAGCAGATCAGAGCCAACACGAGGCCCACAAGGCAACAATATTAGTATTCTTTCAATTAAACATAGATAACCTTCAGACTAAAAACCCACCGGAAACGTCAGACTGGCATTTCTGAAGGTCCATAAAGACTTACGGCCTCCCGTTCATTGGC